CATTTTAAATTCTCGTCCGTTATGTAGTGTAAACAATACTGACATTGATTGCATTAATATTTTCACTCCTTCACATTTTCTTACAGGAGACGTGATCCTATCCCCTCCTCCTGAACTACCTCTTACTAGTCCTGCCAATATACGGAATAGGTGGGATCTCCTTCAAAAGATGCGGAAGGACTTCTGCAAATCATGAACCAAGTCATATCTATCTTCTCTTCAAACCAGAAAGAAATGGAAGGACACTCAGCCGAATATGAAAATTGGAGACATCATCCTGTTACTAGATGATGATCATCTTCCAGGTTCTTGGCCACTAGGACAAGTGGTTGAACTACATCATGGTGCAGACGGACTGGTTCATGTGGCCATGGTTAAAACTAAAAGCTCTATTTTTAAAAGAAACATTCATAAATTAGCTCCTTTGCCCATATATCAGGACTAATGCCTGATTGGGTGGGAGTATGTTCCGGTTCACCGGAACAGAACAACTCAACTTGACTCTTTCACATTTGGAACTATGACAAAGAACATTGAATTCAGTTGAACAGTCAAACTCAGACGAACACATTCGCAAGGCAGCAGGAATGCTGTCTATTTTTCATTATTTTTGTTCTGTTCTCGTATTTATAAGTTTTATATGTCATTTCTTGTATCGTGCAATTATTTAATATAAGTTTTGTGTTTAAAAATGAGGAGTTCATTCACAATACATCGCAACATTAAATGAAACCAAAAGAAAAACGTATTGCATCTCTAATACACCATGCTTATTTTATTTCTTCACACTTTGAACGAAATACATTCATGTGTTCTTGGCACAGAATGTTTTCACATTTTAAACATTGCATTCACGTTCTTCTGTCCTTGGCGCGAGGGCAAAAGATTTATCACATCTTTCATACTTAGTTGTTTCGAATTTCATGTATTCGTTTTAATTCTTCGTCGAAACTTCTGCTTTTGTTTTGCATGCAGTACGTCAATTTCTTGGAAAAGTATTAATCTCTGATCTTTGTTCAATACTTTTTTTTCATTAATTGTAATGCTAAGTCCTTCAAAAACAGACTTCTGTTTCTGGTTGGTGGATTAGCAGTTGAATGTAATATAATTCAAGCATTTATTACAGCAACATTCAGTGCAGGAAAGAAAATTACCATTGGCCACCTCCTTGTTATTCTGGCAATTGAATAATTGGCTGTCATTTCATCTCCCATATTCACTGCTCCTTTAGTCATATTATAAAAACATGTAATTCCTGGCATTTTATTTTCTCCAATAAGTATCATCTATAGTATGATCATTGTATAATGTTGAAAGCATAAGAACAGTTTTGCCTTTTTTAGGGACATTAGGAATTAACGTTTTATCTTTTTCAAAACCAAAACAGCGTAGAAAATATTCCTAGTTTTAACTTCAGTTTCCGAAATGCAATCTTCATCGCTTTCAAATATTTCTAATAAATATCACAGGCGTTGCATCTGCAATTCATAAGGAGTCATTCTTTTTACGATAATGTGGTTAGAAATTTTCAAGAATTTAATGTCAAGTACTTTAAAATCACTTGCGAGTAGAAATATTTACTGTTACACTCCAGAAATAAATTTCTGAACTAAATATTCGGTCATAAAAACACTTGCGCGGACAGGGGCGTGTCATACCCCAGTTCCAACAAATACCGATAAATCTGTTTCTGAAACACACAGGCAAAGAAAAAGCTGTTCTGAAAGTCAACCCCAACTAGAAACTCAGCTACTGAATGCAGCACAGAATTTCAGTTTCTCAAGTTAGGAATATTCCACTTTTATGTAAGGGTGGGTTATGATACACCCCACGTGCTTTCCCGCGGGTTAAGAATAACTGATTTGTTATTCACATAAACCCAGAACCAGCGCCAGAGCTCGTATGGCCCCAGTCTCAGTGCGCGATTGAAGTAAGATAAAATTTAACAGAACAACTTGCCATTAGTCGCCAAGCTCATGATGCATAGCCAAATATATATAGTGAAGATAGCTAAATTTGATGATGATAGCCACTAATTTCAAAGGTTTTCAAATATCCCAAAACAAAGGTGAAATTTCCCAATTAATTGATTTTGTAAAGAAATGTGGAGAAGCAGTAATAAATGAAAATGATATAAAAGAAGTTTTTCATTGTGATGATAATGCTTCTCAATCATCAATCAATTAATAAATGGTGAAATCTGTAGTATGTTTTTAGATCTAGAAAATACCGCTACCAACATTGAAGAAAGTGACAGGAGAAGTTACTGAAAACAAGAAAATTTCGATTGACAAGTTAGTTGTAATTCTCGAAGCAGCAGTTATAGGACTGGAACAATGTAACCAAACAAGAGATTACGTCTGTCTACAGAATTAAAGAGAAAGTATTAGAAAAAAAAAGAAAAAAAAAAAGAAGCAACTTAAACATTATAAGTCTCACATATTTTAAAGATTAGTGACTTTTTATTTAAATTTTCTCACAGTTAGCTTTATGCTTATAATTTCTTTTATACCTCATTTCAACATGTACTTCCTTAGTCCAAAGGCTTATGCAGATTTTATGTCCAACATAGATTAAATTGAGAAGTAAAATAGTAATCAGCATTACTCGTAAACAGAAGCTGGACTGTCGCCATTGCTGCTGTTTGCTAAGAGAGAGGGATGCTGATCAGAACAGATGTGAGCATCTGACATTTATGCGGTTGGTAAAAGTTGAAAGTTAGTTGCCTTTGAACCAGTTAATGTCGTAGCTTTGTGTAGATTAGCTGCAGTTGTATAATAGCTGCATTTAGCTGCAGTTGTTAAATACTATATATCAGTTAATATACAGTATTTAACCCTCTCAGCATTATGGATGTAAAATTCTGTATAGAAGGGTGGCTTTTTTATTCATTACACACGGAATTTTCTGCCAGCTTTTAATATATCTAATTTCGGCTTGGATGCATATTGTAAGAAAAGGAATGAAGGTACAAAGTGACAGAATCGTTTTTTAATTATAACCAAGAAAATACCATTCATTCATGACATTCTGAGAAACTTTAAAATTTCAGGGCTAAATCAGCAATGCTGGAAAAATAAGCTGCTGTAGCACTAGAGATGATAGGTTGTTTTGTATTACTTTAAGTCTCATTAGTTGTAAGGAATAAAGTTTTATGTTAAGTTTTGCATTTTTGTGCAGCATCTTACATCTATAATGAGGATTAACAAAAGTCGATAACTCACCTTAACACATAAAGATAACTTTTAAGGGTGAGTAGTTAATAATAATTATTATATCATTAGCCAAAATAATTATACAAAATATGTAAGTTTTGTAGCAATAACAAAATACAAAATATTTATGCGTCTTTTCAATTTGAAAATTTTCTAGATATTTTAGCTAATTTACATCAATTTCTTTCTCTTAAGCATCTTTTATAAGTTTATTTTTTTCAATAAACAAATCAACGCTCCCACCAGTCTTTCCTTCATCTTCTAACTTGTTAATGTTTCAACAATGTATCTTTGAAGAATAATTTTCCCTCTTTTCTAAAATCAATTTCTTTTCCAATAAGTTTCCTCTTCATTTTAGAATTTCCAGATTTAATTTAAGATTTCAGGTATTCTAATACTGCTTGAATTCAGAACGTATAGAAGAAACTACTAATTTTATTTCTTTAATAATAAGAAACCCATCACAAATTTCTTATAAAACACATCCATTACTCGGTAATGCCATGAAGACACACTTTTCATTTTGTAATTTTTTTCTGGAATTGTAGGTTTATAAATCTTGCTTTAAAATTCTTCTAAACTTTCTCAGGTGCAAGGTCCAAAGTCCTTACCAACTCTATAAGAGCAAAAAACCAAATTTTTGAAAGGGGGTGGGTGGGAGAGGTTAACCAGAAAAGAATTCTCAAGAGAAAACTGATACACATTAAAATCAGATGACATAATTATATGAGAAAAAACTCTTATCATGAAAAAATATAAATGAAGACAAATGAAATTAATTAAAAATAATTACAGTAGCTTTTTTTCTAAAAAGTGTTTAAAAAATTGTGCTTTAAATTAATATCATTTATTATTTTGTTTATTTTTCGAATCAAAATATTCCTAAATCACAAAAATGGAAAATAATGTCACTTTAAAATGGAGCAGGAGAAAATTAAAATGTTTTATTTTAGTATTATTTCTTAAATACAATTTTATTTATTATCACTATTTTTATGATATTTATCAATGTTATTATTTTTGTAAAAAATGGCCCCAAAATTCACAAATCTCTGAATAAAAATTTTCTATACAAACACTTACGATCTCGAATATCTCAAACCTTGGTAAGTTGCTAAATTTAGTGCCTAATAATAAATTAAACTCATATCCCAAAAAGGAAAAAATTATTTTGATATAATATTTTATGAACTTGTTCACTCAAAAAGAAAATTATTTCACAATGTTTATGTTTCAGTTGAGACAGGGTCTAATGCCTAAAACTTGAGTATCCCCGTTTATATTAAGAAATATGAAAGAATTCAAGCGATAACCCATCAAATATATATTTGCCAATGCATCATCAAAAAATATTCCACCAAAATATTTTACACACAAACTTATAGTTGTAAAAAACTGACAAAATTGTCAGATAAGTAAAAAAAAAAAAGGACTTTTTGCCAATTTTAGCCGAAATTAGATTTTAAAACACCAGAAACCATTTTAAAAAGATCTAAGGATTTTAAAGTACTTTAAAAGACTATATGAACACTCATATTTTAGAAGCAATCCCTGATGCTGATATAAATTGGGACAAGAGATAATTATTTTTCATAACATATAAAATCCGGAAGTAGGATATTTATGCAGGTATTTTACACAAAATAAAAATTCAGAAGCAATGGTTATTTTATTGTAAACACATGTAAAGAGAATAAATTATTATAAGCAAATAATTTGTCTTATAAAGATTTAGTTAAAGCATTATTCTTAGACATAAATTAATAAAAAGAATTAAAGTCATACTTTTGGTGACACAGGAATGGCTTCATTTTGTTTAAGCTGCGAAATTCTTTTATCTGTCAAATAAAACTTTAATTATTCATTGAAATTAATAGGAGATAAAAGTTTAAAAGATACTTGCATGTTTTAATGCAACCACCTTGAAGCAAGTTGGTAATTGTTTAGTAGATGAAAAATGGTAAAAGTTACTATAAGGTGCAAGTTGCTTATTTTTGTGACTTTTTTAAAGAGATTTGCTAAGTATTGATATTTACCGAAAGTTCACAGACATTATCAAAATATGAAAATGAAATATTTTTAGTAATTTAAAATATGAATTTTAATTATTAAATAAGGACTAATGTGATACATTAAAAAATATTGCACATATGTGAAAATTGATC